ATTAGACTATTCTGAAGAATTATTATCTGAAGATAAACCTTGGGATCTAAGCTTCTTCTTCTGATTCCTTTCTCTTATTTTATTACTAATATGTTCTTTATGTACCCGATCCAGAAATTCAATCTCTTTATCTTCTGGTAATTTAGACTCTGTATGAATAGATGATATGGTGCATTGAATCTTCAACTCCTGATATACATCAGAACTTAAAGCATCATCAGTTATATTAGATGAATGAGTATTATCCTCTAACGATTTTATAACAAGGTTAAATATATTATCATTTTCATACGAATTATCTCCATTTTCTAATCTATCTACAGCATTGTTTTGCTTCTGCTTCAATTTTACAAATCGCTCTTCATTTTCTTTTGCTGACCATTCTAGTTCTATGATTCTTGCATTGAGCTTAGCATCTCTTAACTTTGCTTTCTTGACATTTTCTTCTATAATCTGTTTTAGCTCAGTCTCAAGTGCATTTTTTTCTTTTACTATTTGCTCTAATTCTGCGATCCTAGTCATAAATCTAATATTTTCCAATTTTAATGAATCAACCTCAGATAAGTCTTTAGATTCACCTTTTTGAGTTTGCATGTTTAATATTAATTTATATAATTTTAGAAATGGTTGGAAAAAGAATTTTACTGTACACGTTTTGAAAAATATTTTTTCTTGAAAGTTAATGCTTTTAATTTCAAATAAAAAAATTATGTGCGTGTGACAATTTGTCACGCCGATCACTTTTACCAAGAAATATTTTATGTAGCGTATTTGATGTAAGATTTATTTTATCCACTATGAATATAAACAAATTATGAATTGCTTGTCCCATGGGCCAGGTGTAATACGTGCTTTAAAATAAATTATACCGATACGTGTATATAAATTAACGATACATCATTTATTTGTGAACTGTGGAACATTTATTATATAGGATATATAGGATGTGACCCAAGGTCACAACATCACGTGATATAAAGCGCAGTAAGTAGAAATTATTCTTGAATCATGTGCGTGACATTTGTCACGCTGATCCAGGGCCGATGATTTACTGCGATCACAGAAAATAGCCCTTAAAAACAGTTAACCACAGAAATCACCTTTATCATCGCAGAATGCCACAGAAATCTAAAAAAGTAGTGCAGAATATCGCAGAATTCTATAAAAGTAGTGCAGAATATCACAGAATTCTTTAATATCGCAGGAGCACCGGGAACATGTTTGTCGGGAAGTTACGGAATTTTGCACATTTGTATTCATCAAATCACAGAATCAAACTAAATTACCGCAGAATTATGCAGAAATTAACTTTTTTATCACAGAATTTCACAGAATACATTAAAAAAACAGCACATGACATCACAGAATTTCACAGAATACATTAAAAAAACAGCACATGACATCACAGAATTTTTCTTAACCGAAAACAGAATTTGGTCTTAACCAAAACAGTAAATCATCGGCCCTGCTCTGACAGCCAAGTTAGGATATCATGATAAAACGTAGCGCAGTAGATCATATAATAATTTTTACTAAGAGTTTCTGTAATCTGTTGTACCTAATAAAATTAGTGAACCAGTAAATTCTCTGTTAGGACTAGTGATGCAAACTTGATAAAAATATAAACAGGCTACATCATAGGTTTAAAACTGTTTATATTTTTGAAGCTTAGACTAAACCTTGAAAACAAATATAAACTGATAAACTTCATGTGCATGCGATAAAACCGTAAATTAAAAACTAAAATTTATTGTGCATTGTTATATATATAGTGTTGGGATTGGACCGAAACAGACTGAATCCGAAATTTCGGTTTAAATCCGAAGTATTTAATGGTTAAATATTTTAACATGGTCGACTTGGAATTTATATATTAGTGCGATGTGAAAGAAAAAAACTGAACCAAACCTCAAAATTAGGCTTAATCCGGGCAATCCGAAATTTTTGGCCCAGACCGATTTCACAGTTCGGATTATATATAATGTCAACGGGCGAAGGGCGGCAACACAGGCCAACCAATCACCCACAAAAAACACACAACCCCAACCCACACCTCACGATATACTTGATTGGTAGAGGCGGTATTGATTTGGCAAGGTCGGGTTAAGCGAACGACTTTTATGCAAACATTCCTTACTCTTTATTAAGGGCAAAAAAAAGCCCATTTTATAACAATTTTACATGTGGGGGGGCAAAAGAACAAAATCGAATTCTTTCTAATCTAAGCCTATCGCACAGTATCACACCATTTTTGGGTAACCATCACTTAGCCTCCTCCGGTTAAGCTTTTGGCACTGCGTCAAGCCCAGCAAGCCACATCACTCCTTTTGGCTTTGCTTGGTTCCGTGTTTACAAACAGATGGGCTTGCCACGGATCTTTCAGTAAGCCTCATCCTTCTTTCCTTCTTATCGTGGTCTTTCTTCGTGGGAACAATTTCTCAATTCGGGGTTTTTGTCACGTTTTTGGGCCTCGTGACGTCAAATTTGGCGCAGCGGATTAACCTTAGGCAACCAAATTTTGAACCTTCATATGTAGTTTTATTATGTTATATAAGCCCCTATTTAATATTAAATATGCACCCTAAATTTTATTAAAAACAATTATATATAACATCATATGTGCATTTTATAATAATTGATTAATTTTATATTGTTGATATTTTTGTTTATATTATAAACAACTAAAATATTTATTGTCGCGATCGTGATATCTGGAGGCCTTAATTTAAATATAAACCCTACTAAAATCCGCCTTTACTCTTTTATTATAAACCTAACCCTAAATCCTAGTCCAAATTAGGGATGTTAAGTGGTCTATGAGAAACGGGTTCGTACGTACCTGGTCCAGACCGAACTTTTTAGGGACTAGTTCAGGACTGGTCCAAAAAACTAGTCCTATAATCTTGTGGTCTCAAGGTTATCTAATTGGCTAATTTATGTTAATCTTAAATAAATATGCTTACAAGATTGAAACGAATTTAATACAATTCATGTAATTACAATTCTGCAATTAAAACACAATACATTAAATCATTAGAGTAGGACCGTTTTTGATTTTTTTGCAGGGGGTGAACTAGTTCCTTGGCTATAGTGATGCAAATTACCGACTGTCTATAACAGAGCCGAACCGTTTTTTGGTTAAGCCGTTTTTTAGCTGAACTATTTTTTAGCTAGCCGTTCAAGAACCAATGGCTCTAAATTGTATTGTCATAGAAAATTTATTTTCAATTAAATTCAGCGTTAATACACGTACAAATATTCCAGTAATTAACAATTTGCAAATGTGCAAAGCAAAGATAATATAGAACCATATTATATAAAAAATTTTTTTTTAAAAAAAAAACATTTTTTTGAAAAAAAGCTTTTGAAAAAATAAAATAAAAATCTATTTTTTAAAAAGTCAAATAAGAGCTTGTACGCTTTTTTCAGAAGGCGTATACGTTTAGCATGAACTGTGTCCCCTGCCTAGTGATTTGAACTGAGAAAAATTTCCTTAATCGTTAACTGAACCGAATTATTTCATTCAACCGGTCGCCAACCGGTTAAAATTAATATCTCTACTGCCTCGGAACTCTTGGAGCTTTGCTCAAATTTTTGTCTCAACCTTGCTCGTCTTTTATATTCATTCAATTTCTTTTCGGAATTTTTGGTTCCTTTATTCTCTCCTTACGTCATTTCCATACTATATCGACCCGCCAACTGATTACTCATTCTCAACCGGTTGTACAGGGTCAACCGATTAAGAATTTCCTCAATCGGTTAACCGAAATTTATCCAGTTCGGGTCGATTAACCGATTATAGCCCAACCGATTCAAGTCACCCCTGCCTTTGAAAATAGCTGGATTGCGAGAAATCCTTAGACATTCGGGACGTAACAGGAAAGCGAAAACTATTAGTTTCCACCATTCTAGTGGATTAACATTCATTGGTTAAATAGCTTCGTTCAAATATTGAAGTGAATTTTGAGAATTAATATAAGAAAGGTCGTTAGGACCATTTGGACAATTATTGTAAGTACCAAAAAGAAAAAAAAAATTATAATAGCTTTACGACATATTGTTATATTTTATTATAAGTTTATTCTCAATACGAAAGTTTATTATATTAGTTATGTCATAACAGTTATTATAGTGGCTACGCATATTATAGTCATTAATCAGCTCATGGCTCTAAACCGGCTCCACGTAACGCAAACCGAGCCATTAGTTAGCCAAGTCAGTTAAGCCGATCGGCCTATGGTTCTGCAGAGCCGTTTTGTATCACTACTTGACTATTTCGGGACCGGACTGCATCAGATGCACCACTTAACATCCCTAGTCAATATGATCAGTCCGACAAAAATGGATATTTTCGGAGCAAGCTGTTTATTTTTACAGCATATGGCCAATCAATCAAAATCCTTCGGACGATGATTGCACTGTCCCTAAAACTACCTAAGAACACTCCAAAAAACTCTATGCGACCAATTAAATTGCAAGATCAGGTGTAACGTGAAATTTATAAAAAAGGGGTAACTCAATAAACAAGTTTATGCTTTAATTAAAAAAAATTCCTTGCTAAACTTAAGACATATACACTTTAAACCAGATTGTAAAATAGAAAGTTATATTGCTTTAAATATTCAATGTCCTAAATTTTGATTTTCATGTTACACCTGATCTTGCGGCTATTGCGCAGAATTTTTCAGTGTTCTTCGGTAGTTTGTCCTTAAGCACTGTTCATAAATTACGCGTTTAATCAGTATAGATCATCTGGTTAGACCTTTCTGAGTTTTATTTTCGGAGATATCTGACGTACATACGTATGTACGTTGTAAAGAGGGCTCCGGGCAAAAAAAAAAAAAAAGAGACCTCACCAAAATGCCAAGTAACGCTGCTACATCGATTTAAATACCGCACATAGAACCCACCTCTTGCCTATACTAAGCTTCACCACCAAAGCTACCACTGCCTATCAGAAGATTCTTCGAACCTTTGATGAGGGGGATAGAATTGAAAGTTTAGTCCATGCTTTTTATTTGGGCTTGCTGCTCAACAGAGCATGCAGAAAGCAGATTGCCAACCTCAGAAGAGACATCCCCACCATTATATCGATGCATTTCTTCGACTATACTATCTCTTTGAGCCTCTAGGTGTGGAACACCTATATTGTACCACTTGGACAACCATTTGTAAAGTTCGACAGCTCACAGTAGTCGCTGTTAAATAATCGCTTGTGGAACTCACACATAAGTGAGGGAGAAGTGTAAAGGGGACCCCGGGCACCTACATAAAGTATAATCCAGATACCATTTATGTTAGTTGAGGGTTTTTGAATTAGACTAAGGATAGTTGTAACGTACTAAAATTTTTCTTAACTTCTCAACATGATAGCAACCTATTATTGTGCTTACGTGTCAGCAAGGAATGATGCAAGAAACCATTTTAGTGACCGGAGGCTTATACGATTATTACTTTCAATATTAATGAAGAAGAGCGAGATTTAATATCAAGTTCTTCTTCTAAAAAAATCGACTTCCCAAGTGGTCCCAAATCACTATTTAACTATACGAGTTATATCACCATGACTTATACCGTGCGTGGGATCGGAATACTCTTCTCTTGCGACAACAAACAAAGGCAATAAGAGGATTAGCAAATAGTATTGCCAATTTAACTTATTTGAATATTTTATTCAATAATATTGATTTTAAGCTAAAATCAAACAAAAAGCATAGTAGGACTGGACTTTTTAGGGGCTGTTGTCACGGGAATTTTTGTTAACATTTAATCGTTGCATCGTATAATCAATATTCCATGATTACATTTTATTGTAATAATTTGATCATAGATTGTTACTACATTTCTTTGATCAATAATTTATTATAACTAATCGGGTGTAGAATGTGAATACTGTAAATATATAAAAGTAATCCGTTATTAATAAAGTGGGAGGGCAAGTTAGATAAGTAGTTAGTTAAGTAGATAGATAGATAGAATACACGAATCATTCTAATGATTATACTTTCCTTAATTTCCAACTACCATTAAACCCGAATTCCTTAATAAAACATTCGTCCCACAAAACTTATGCAACGCCCAATGTTAATCTGTCACAAGCTCATTTATCGCTCTCCCAAATCTGGGCGTTACGAGGCTAGTTCAGATAATCACATGATATGAATTGAATGTCATTTTGACACTTCGAATGAAATTTAATCAAGAACAATACTTTTAATTGTCTTAATTTAAGGAAGTATAAGGTTCTTTAATTGGGTTAGGTATTCTGATTGGTTGTTTTGGAGATTGTTTTTTTTTTTTTTTTGCCGTATAATACAAAATCTCAATTATGAAAAATTATGTGCATTATATATTAAAACCACTAGAGTTGGATCGGTTTCGACAGGGGTTATGAACTAGTTTCTAACTAGTTCAGGACCAGACTTTTTAAGGACCGGGACTAGACGGACTTTCCTAGTCCAAATCTAAAAAAATTATCCTAAAATTTTTAAAAATCGTATATCAAATAGAGTTTGATTTCACGATCATCCGTGACATTTATTATCTAAATTAGAGTTCCAATTCAGTTAAATCCGTCATCTATTTATCAGGTCCCCGAATAATTATAACAGATGTTATATTTGAGCCATTGGCAGTTTTTCAGCAATTTGATTGGATATAAATTTTTTAGCCAATCAAATTGCAAAATTTTGACCTCTGTTAGCTATTTTTCAAATATGATCTCAATTAGTATTGTTCGGGGTCCTTTGTTTATCCGTATTATCCGTATCTGAATTATACGGATAATTCAGATCGCCGAACGGTATTCGGACAATTATTCGGATATCAATAGTAAACAGATATCCGAATAAATGCCTAACGGATTGAAGCTCTAAATACAGAAATTTATAATAATCTTTACCAATATCTAAATATTTACATTAAAGAAAAGAATATTTTCTGTTTTTTTCATCAACAAGATAAGCATCCCATATTTTTGTTAAAGGCCAACTACCAGAATTAGATTTTTTATTAATTGAAAATTTGAATTATTTGTGTGTTAACACTAGTTCTATTTTATAATAGTTTAACTTTCACGTAATTGATTATATTGTAGCGATAGTTTTAATTAACGTTTTAGTTATAGTTATGTACTAACTACAGTGCAGCCCAACAAATAAAATTGATAAAACTCAAATTGCTGATTCTTCAAAAAATAGTAAACACAAAATACTATCTTAAAATGTTAATTAAGACAAGCTAAGCACTTTCATGTTTTTAAATCTATTTATAATAAGCTATAGCAAGTTAAAGTTATAGTCTTTTTATAATTAATTTAAATATAAAATTTAGCCACCTTTTATATATATATAAGTAAATTTGGTCTCTTTAAACAATTAATTTAATTTTATATACTGGGTGGGTGAAAAGTCTCTAAACAGACTCTTTTTTTAAATCACTAAAATAATCATTTTTAACGTTTAAATTATATTTAATTAAATTAAGTAATCTTAGCGGAGATAAAAAAGGGGACTTGTTTAGAGACTTTTCACCCACCCGGTGTATTAAAAATTTAAATTTAGCTATCATATATATAAAAATTAGCTAAATTTTCAAATTTGCCAATAGAAAACCTGCAAATCTTACCTAATAAGATTTGCAGGTTTTCTCTTGGCGGCACTCATATATATAAAATAAAATCTAAATTTGGCCTTCCTTTAACCGATATTTTTGGCTTGTTTTGACTTTTTGCGTTACACTGCCAAAGCGGACAAGTGTAGTATATTATGATTTTTATTTGAATGCCAACACTATCGAATTTTTTATTATTCTTAAGATCTATGTTATTTTAATCAGTTTTTTCAGTGTCATAAGCTTAGAGACCCAAAATATGTATTTTTTTTTTCTGGTGGCACCTTTAAGGCGTTGTATATTTATTTATCATATCGATATACAATAAGTCATATGTACTGATTTAATAGTGTTCTGATTCGGAATAGCATGTTAGTTCAGAGCAAATGCATGTATGATATTGATCTGATTTTTTAGTTCAGAGTATCGGGCTCGGTACATACGGTCCGGATTAGAGAGGATTAGAGAGATAAGACTATGAATAGTTTCACCAAATCTTCACCAGAAATAACGAAGGTTCCAAAAAAAAATGAGTTAATAATTTATAGGTAGTTTATTGATGCAAAATTCAATTTAGACAAATAAGGATATATCCGATAATAAATAAAAATGTCGCATAATAAATCTATTTACGCAAATCTACAAAAAAAGTTAATATCAAATTTGTTACGAAACTCGCCTGAAGCTAATATTCGTCAATAAACTCAATTTAGTCAAACTTAATTCGTCCCTCAGAGCTATTAACTACTCCTGTTAACGTTGGCGATCTGTTGCGTAATAGATTTTAAACAATGTCGATATCGATGTTGACAATCAAAAATCCGGTGATGACTAGATTTTCCGGTCAAATCATTAACCTCGGATAATTGGTCCAGATATACTTATTTGAGCGCAAAAAAGGAAATGAAATTACGCGTTAAATTTAAAATATAGCGTTAAGCCCTCTTTTTCTTTTTGTATGCACACGTCAAAATTTGTGTCAATCTGATCCGGGATAATCATATATATGAATTTATTAACCACCATTGATTGATGATAAATAACGTTTCTCGAACTAAATATCGATTTATCGAAATTTAATATACAGATCATCGCATAATCGATTATAACAATTTCATCGCTGACAAATTAATGACGGAACGTTTCGGAAGTTTTAGGTCGATTCATTAAGTATCACGTATAAATATTAGTTTGGACATGGACATATATATATGCAAGCCAAGCCTTTTCACCTTTTTTTTCGAAGTCTAGTCTTTAGTGTTTTAATTTATATATTTTTTTCTATAAAAATTTTTAACATTAAAAATGACAACGAAACCAAATATTGTAATCGTTGGTGGTGGATATGGTGGTGTAGCTGCAGCCACTAAACTTGAATTAGCCCTTCATAAAACTCATCAAATCATTCTTATCGAACGTAAAACTCATTTTTATCACGCTATTGGTGGTCTTCGTGCTGTCGTTGAAGATGGTTTCGAACATAAAGTTATAATTCCTTATGATAACCTTTTTAAGTATGACGGAAAAGTTGTACATGCTGCAGTTACCACTATCCATGAAAAAGAAGTTATCATTAATACTGAAACTGAATGGGGAACTAATATACCATTTGAATATTTGATAATTGCTACCGGTTCTAATTATCCTAGACCTGGAAAACTAACTACCGATAATAAAGAGGAAAGCGCTGCTGAGTTAGTCGCTCAAAGAAATGCTATAAAAAACGCGAATAAAATTTTGATTATTGGTGGAGGTCCTGTGGGCATTGGTATGTCTATAATACACTTATTAATAAAGTTGAAATCTCTGTGTAATATAATAATACATATGATTGTTTATGTACTTATTTATGTTATATATATTATTATCCTCCTCTCATATTAACTTTAAATAGAACTTGCCGGAGAAATTGCATCAGTTTACCAAGATAAAGAAGTTACACTTATTCATTCGGAAAATCATTTGCTTAGTGAAAAATTCCCAAAGAAAATGACTAATCTTCTTGCTAAACAACTAAAAGAACTAAATGTAAAACTTATTTTGGGTGAATCTGTTAATCTTCCTTCTTCGGGTATCGGTGATGGTTTGTCCCCTTTAACTTTGGAAACCAACAAGGTAAACATTTAGCATAAACGTACGATCTTTGTTGGGAAAATCACCTTTCGGGTCATCGTTACACTGATTCTAGAAAAAAACCTCAATCTTATAACGATGATATTATCCATTCAACTCAAATTCTCTTCTTTTTTTATAGGGCACGCAACTTGAATCTGACGTTCAATTTGTGGCTTTTGGAATAAAGCCCAACACTAACGTTATAGAAACATTAGATCAATCATTGATAGAAGAAAACACCACTCGAGTAAAAGTAAAACCAACTCTTCAATTGGATCATGATAATTATGCTCATATATTTGCCATCGGCGACATAACAAATATTAATGAAACAAAGCTTGCCTACCGTGCTGGTCTTCATGCTGATGTTATAACTAAGAATATTATTTCCCGTATTAATAATAAAAAATTGGTTGAATATAAACCTGGTCCTGAAGTTATGATTGTTCCCGTTGGAAAGGTAATTTTCTTCTATACATAGGAATTGGACCGGGGTGAAATTGCTGTTATATGAATACCCAAATTAAATATTATTCGGATAGCGATTTTCTCGACGGTCCAATTTTTAACCTTTACATTGTCTGTATTTATTTGCGTTTGTTTTAAAATTAATTTTTTTTTTTGAAAATTAGGCTAAAGGTG